TTAGCTCTTATTTTATGTTATTTCCTGTTTTACCCCTAAGTTAGTTTATGTGAGTGTTGTGGCCCAAGGGGCAATTTTGTAATTTTTGAGTTTTTCTTATGTTGTGGCCTATATATAGGGCCTCAAGATATTGTAATGGGGATGAAGAATTGATAGTAAAAATTTGTGTTCAACAATTGTGCTCTTGTGAGATGACGATAGTGAGATTTCTATGGAGAGGAATCGGAGTCTTCACCAACCGCGGGATGGGTCCGGGCTCGTGAATTGAAGTCCCTTGGAGAAGGGCAAAGAATCAATCGTCAGTCTTTGGAAGAGTCCAAGGCTCGCGGTTTTTATCTTCTATCGTTTATTTTCTATATTTTTGTTTTTATTTTGTTCCTTCTTATTGCTCCTCGTAGTCTTATTTTTTCATCTTCCTACTTCCACCGTCACGTCGTCTCCATCTCCACCCCGCCGCCGGTCCCCCACCCGAAAAACCTCCAAACCGCCGGCCATGGCTCCCTATCGCCAGCCTCATCCTTTTTCCTCTCTCCTTGGCTTTCCTAATTTGGGGTGCATGATATTAGGACTTAATTTGAAATTCAAATTATCTAAATTTGAAATTCAAATTATCTAAATTTGAAATTCAAATTATCTAAATTTGAAATTCAAAACTTATTTCCTAATTTAGTTCGCCTATTTTAGGAAAGTACTTAATTTAAATCAATTTGAATTTCAAATTCAAATTGGATTTATTTCATTACTTTCCTAACTCCTAAAATCAAGTTTAGAAGCCCTCAATCACAACATTCAATGCTCCCCTTATTCATGCAAGCCGCCGGCCAGTTTATGAGCCAATTAGGAGTTATTTCCTAATTGCTTCATAACCTCTCTTTGAAAAAGTTTCCATTTTTAAATCATATTTGAATTTCAAATTCAAAAGGGATTGAATTATTTCTTTCCTTAATTCCCTACATTAATCAAATTCCATTAATTCCTTCATAATTTAAATTCCTATCATTCTATTTTTGGAAAGTTATTTTAAATTCAATCAAATCAATTTATGAAAGATTGAGATTTAAATCTGCCTTT